AACCAGGACCTGAACCCAGGTAGTCTGACTCCAGAGTCAGTGGGGGCTTATCCCATGCCATTCTGTTTCTCAAAGGCACTGACCTGCCCTGAGCAAGTCTGACTGTAGAATCTGGATTCTATCTCGGATACAGGGTACAGGTGTAGAAATGAAAACCCACTCTGCCCAAGGGAAGTCTCCAGGCTCATGCCAGCTAGTCCAGAGCCAGGGCAGGGTCTCCAGTACCCTTCCTACCCTCCTCCACTGTCCCCTCCACTCGGGGGGAGTCCTGAAGCCCCTGCTCCCTGCCCCCAGCTTCTGGGTTCACAGCTAACTGGGCCACCTCATTCTAAAGGGATTTGAATCCCTGGGACAACTGGAGACAGGTGAGAAAAGGCTTAGGGATTAGATAATGATAGCTGGGAAGGTAAGGGACTTAATTAGGGGGGTTCGGTTGTGGGAAGTGGGGCGGGGAGGGGATTTGCGTCTTCACAAAGCCAGGATGGACTGCGGAAGTGAAGAGGAAGTGGGCTCCTTGGGAGGAGCTGGGCAGGCTCAGTTTCTCCAGTCTGTTGTGCCTTCAGAATTAACACATAATAGTACTAATAATCCCCCACATTTGTGCACCCATCACTTTTTCAGCCATTATTTCACTTGGAATTCTCACAGCAGCCCTGGGAAAGAGGCAAGGATTATTTTTCTCCCCAGGAAACAGGCACCTGGAGAAGGCAGGTGACTTTGCCCTCTGAAAAGGTGGGATTTGGCTCCAGGCTTCCTTGCTCTCACTGCATTACTTCAGGGGGAGAGGCAACAGCAGGGGCCAAGGAGCTGCCTCAGGGGAGGAACCCCGGCTGCCACCTCCTATCCTGAAGTCCTTGAAGTCTCCTGCCTTCCTCACTGGGAGCTGGGGAGGAGAGGAAAGAGTAAGGGAATAGAGAGGTTGCCAATCTGTATTGTGGGCAGTTGGGCAGGGCTGGGCTGGGACCTGAGGGGTCTGGCAAGGGGGCTCTTTACCCCACCCCTTCTCCTACACATACCCTGCCCTCCCCAAGGGAGATCCATTTGTGGCCCTTCAGTCTTCAAAGGTACTTTCTGCCTGCAGTCTGAATTTACCCTAGCAGATGTCCCAGTATTATTCAACACCAAGGATGTTGAGGCCCCAAAAGGGAGAAGACTTCCCCCCCCCCCC